CCCCAAAACCCCAAAACCCCAAAACCCCAAAACCCCAAGTCTTGATATAAATAAGAAAATAGAGTGTGAGAAAATCAATTGGGTTTAAACGGATTTAATAATCTTCGGCTTTTTTTTCATTATTAAGAGATGTTAAGCATAAATTGATGGAATTATGAAATGTGTTCAATAATCTTGATGAAGAAGTTTGCTAGACTCCTCTTTAGGCTTTCATTAGCTCTCAGCTGACCTGTCAAGATCACTCATAAGTCTCTTCTTTTCCTACTCTCTAGCTTCTTTTTCTCTTTGTCTTCTGCCTCTCTTCAAGAACTGAATCAAGAAGTAGATGCCTAGAACAAAAAGTGGGAAGAAAAGGGCAGTTGAGATAGCTAGAAGGGCAATAATTCCACCGCTGAAAGTCTTTCTCACTGCAGCAGTTGAGTTCTAATGAATTCCAAAGCTGATAGTTTTCTTGTCTACATCAAATCCTGTCAAATAATTTCTTAGGAAGGCTTATCCGAGAATGAACTCATTGTTCTTGGTGGCTAATTCGCTTGACATAACACCGAACACACATTGGTTCTCATAGTAAGGACCGAAATCTTTACCGTTATAGGTAAACTCATCTGATTCTACGCTAAAGTATTCATTAGTTGAGAATTGGATCTTGAATGGTCCAATAGTATGGGAAATTTCTTGGCATGTTTGATTGATAAAACAGAAGTTTAGGTCACTAGGGCATTTGATATCTGCACTCTTGCCTTTCCAAGCGTCTTTCAAAGCACTGAAGTCATCATTGGGAATATAGATGTATTCATCATTAGTGCTGATTCTTGCCTTATTTGCTCCACTCTTAAGGAATGTCATGTAGATGTATCTTGCATCCTACATCTCAACAGTCCAGCTATCTTTTTGAGTTAGATCAAAGGTGTGCCATCCATAGCCTTGGTTTTCTTCACCATCGGCCAGGAAAGAGTTGTCAAAGGATCCCATACTCAGTGCACTGTAAGTCTTATTCAAGAAGATGGAAAATTTCTTCTTGTCAAGGGGTGAGGCATACTGAATAAATGATTACTTCTAATCATTATTAAATCCTAATCCTAAAACTCCATCTGTATCAGGTAAAGTCTTTTGGGTAACCTTATTTGTTAGGGGTTTGGACAGAGCCAGGAATTGAATCTCTGCGTCAATTGTGTTGGTAGGTTTGGTTTTGTCAGGAATGAAACTGACATCGTCAAGAACTAAGTCTCCGAATCCCTCCAAGTTACCGAGCTATGATGATTATCAGTCATGAGAATAAACTCCTAATTAAGTATTTACTTACCTCAATAGTCTAGTCCTTCTTAATGTTTTGACCTTGTGACTCATCGTAAATCTTATTCTTACAAGCATCACAGGTAAGTTGATTGATTGCTGTGAAATCTGAGCTAGTGCTGACTGACAGTTATCCAAGGTTCTTTTACTTGCCAAATGAGACGCTTGCTAATAGTTCAGATGATCCCATGTCTCTTACATCTTTCATCATTTGATTATCTATAGAATAATGATGAAGAGTTAGTTTGGATTACCTTATTTAAGTGGGAAATGCAAGAAACTATCGCTGGTCTCTTATAGTGGGGAGTTTCTCTTGAATAGTTCCAATTTAAACGAGGCTTAGGATGCACTTACGCCTAGAAGTAGTAATAAAGCAACTCTGTTCATTTAATAATTTAATTATATGATATTATATCGAGTTAATAAGTAATATATCCAATTATATTATAAGACAGATCATATTCATTTGCATAATAAATATATATTAATATGTAGTATCTCTCTTCAACTGACAATTAAATTTTGCTTCAAGGGGTTTTGGGGTTTTGGGGTTTTGGGG